TTGGGACTTTGTGCTACTCTGGTGGCTGAACTCCTCGACATTCCCAATGTGGTCATTGTTTCAAATCCTCCGAGCAATTTTGACAGTTCTATGTACAGGGTGCCAATGCCTTCATCATACGTTCCTTCACGTCTGTTACCGTTTTCCTGTGAAATGTCATATACATAGCGTGTGATAAACTTTTTTGTGGTCAACATTTTTCAGTTTTCATTGGAAACTTTGTCTGTCAGATCCTACAGCTCTCTGAAGGAAAAATACAATATTACTCCTGAAGTAAGCTACCGTGAAGCTGTTGCCAGCGCTGAACTTGTGCTTTTTAACGGTCATTATGCGGTTGAGTGTCCACAATCTCTTCTACCAGGTATGCTCAACAGTTATCGCTAATACTCAGACCGTAATATATCATTAAATGGTTTTAACAGAGGGGAAACAGTCAAACTTGTGGACTGATCGTTCGGGTAACAGTGGTCTTGAGAAGAACTGTTGTCGATAGTGGTGACTACACGTGTTTCAAAATTCTAAGCGGTAGTCATAATTTGAGTCCAAAAATTAATCTTTGTAAGTCAAGTGTAACAAGTCTGGTTCGTGAAGAGCGATTGGTTAGTTTAGCCTTAACGTCATTGGCTGGAAGAGCCACATAGCGTAAGTCGGTCGTGATGGTCAGCTGAGTTAAGTCGTTTTTCTCGGTTCCTTTCTCGTACAAATGTCGAGAATAACTCGTTTATATAGTAAACTAGCTTTCCGAGGTCACTATAAGTCGTTTTCATTAGAATCCAAGTCAATAGTGCTGTTCGTATTGATTCTTTTTAGCTCTGTATCTCTGCTTATTTTCCTGAAGGTCAAATCATATTGGGTCCCATCGCTGTCAAACCTGAACCAGACCCACTCCCCCCTGATTTGGCAGATTTTATTAAGGATTCAGGGGGACAAGGGTTTATCATTGCCTCTTTTGGATCGTATGCGAAAATGACTATTTCTAACAGGACGATCGATGTTTTGGCAGCGGCTTTTGGAAAGTTGAAGCAGAAAATCATCTGGAAACATAAAGGTAATTTAAAAGCCGCACTCGCGTTTTCTAGTTTGTGGCACAAAATGCGTTGTTTAAACATCTTAGTCTAAGATGTCGTGTTATCTCCTATAAACTAACTTTGTTATCAATAAAGATTTGGTTATACATAAACACTAAAAAAATAGCGATATGAACCGGCGTTTCGGAGTCTTAACAACGCCATTGATTAGGTAAGGATAACACTCGCAGAATTCGTTATCCTAACATTTACCCTGACCGAGGCGTCCTGAAGACTCCGAAACGTCGGTTCATATCACTATTTTTGTACGCGTTTATGTAAAACTGACTTTGACACCATTTTAAAACTTCTCATTTGGTGTCAGCTTAGTTCACGGTGTCCGCCAGCATAACGCTGAGTCCACTTACAACAGCTTTAGTTGAGTTTCGGAAACTACAACCAAGTAATCACAAGAGCCAATTGGAGGTTAGGACGACATCATCGTTAGCCAATGAGAGGCACAAATTCATGAAACGCGGGAAAACACGAGTGACGAAATCACAATTGGTTCTCGTTGTGCATCTGATTTCATGGTTGAGAAGGTGCAGTGACTTTTCCAGACCAATCAGAGTCTAGTAAAGCTAAACCAAAGTAATAAGGAATTACTATCGACACGCAATTGAAAATTGTTCCACTAATATTTGTTTATAAATTCCTTTTCAGGCTACATTCCGTCATCTGTCGGTCCAAATATCAAAGTAGTGAATTGGATACCACAGAATGATCTGTTGGCTCACAAGGATATCAAAGCTTTTGTGTCTCACGCCGGAACTAACAGCTACTATGAATCAGCATATCATGGGGTGCCTGTGGTGGCTGTTCCGTTGTTTATAGACCATTTTTCTAATGCCAGAAAAGCAGAGTACTTTGGAATAGCAACAGTTTTAGATCATCAAACTATGAATGCTGAAGAGCTCTTTGAGGCTATACAGCTCGTGATGAATGAACCAAGGTATTTTCAAAAAAATATCGCTACACTCGTTTGGATTCAAATTTCTACGTTATTTCTTTCCATGAATAAAATGCCTGCGTTAGGAATCACTTTCCTTGTAGTTTCCCTGGCTCAGAGAACGTACAATTATTTCGTGACGTGCAAATTTCCAATCAATTCTTAATGCTTTTTTATTTTACCTTGACAACAACAAAAATACTTGTTCTTCCCCGAAAACCTCGTCACATCTTTTTGGGATTCAAGTAATGAGCCGAACGCATTTCTTGCCTGATGATATAGATGACCCTCGTATCAGCCATTTAGGATTCAAATCCCCTCTTTAAATCGCTCTCCCGGGCCTCT